GTTGACAAGCAGCTTCCACTAAATTATGCTTAAAAACCAAAATCCTAAAAGAATGCTTTGGTTCCTTCTCCTGAACTCTTGCCCAGGAGTGGATCTGAACTGTAGCCCATGAATTTGCCACAGAAACTCTACCAGAACTCATGGAAGTTGTTTTTTTTTTTTTTTAACTCTAACCCAGTGAAAACAGCTAAAACAAATGTTCAGAGCGACCACAAGCAGCTGGGCCCTGAGCTAGGAGGGAGAGAACCGTCTCCTGTGCTTACTGCAGAGGTGAGGGCCCAGACCCAGGCACTCTGCTTCCTCCCCCTGCAGCCAGATCCACCGTCACCCAGGTGCTGAGCCCAAACAGGACTCTCGTGGGCCCATCCAGGAGCCTCACTGCACAAAGAACAGAATGAGCCCAAGAGGCCTTTCCTGCTTCTGAGGGGGGTCCCACGGTCTCCTCTGCTGCAGGGAGAACGCGTCTTGCCTCCTAGGGTTCTGTAAGCACTACTGAGACAGACGAAAAGAGAAGAAAGGCTGAATTCAGAGACAATCAAAACATCAGGGGTGGGTAACTGGCCTGGCAGTGAAGACAGATGAATTCGGTATGGAGTGTCTGGGCTGGCGGTCAGGCTCCACTCCTGATTCCAGCTTGCTGCTAACGCACACCCTGGGAGGTAGCAGGTGAGGGCTCAAGGGGTTGGGTCCCGTTACCCACGTGGGAGACTTGGATTGAGTTATCAGCTCCCAGCTTCAAGCTGGTCCAGCCCTGGCTGTTGTGGGCATTTGGGGAACAAACCAGCACACAGATAGGAGCTCTCTCTCTCTCTCTCTCTCTCTCTCTCTCTCTCTCTCTCCCCTCTCACCCCACTTCAGTGTGACTGGTAGAAGGGACTGAGAGGCAGGGCTGAAGAAGCAGAAAAGGTCACTTAGGAGACCAACAAATACTGTCCCATGTGTTCTAATGCCTTACCAAAAGGCCACTGAAAGCTACTGGAAGGTCTTAAATGGGAGCAGGATGCTACAAGGGGTCTTCAGAAAGTTCATGGAAATGCATACCAGTACAACCCTAAAAACTATGCACGGACTTTAAAAATTTTTGCACCAAAACAAACTTGTCTTTTAATTCCATGTGTCCACAAACCCTATGAAGTCCCCTCATATTTGCACTTTTTTACAAGGATTTTTATTTATTTACAGGTAGAGTTACAGACAGTGAGAGGGAGAGACAGAGAGAAAGGTCTTCCTTCCGTTGATTCACTCTCCAAATGGCCACAAAAGCCATAACTGCACCGATCCGAAGCCAGGGCCAGGTGCCTCTTCCTGGTCTACCATGTGGGTGCAGGGGCCCAAGCACTTGGGCCATCTTCTACTGCTATCCCAGGCCATAGCAGAGAGCTGGACTAGAAGAGGAGCAACCAGGACTAGAACCGGCGCCCATATGGGACGCCAGCGCCACAGGTGGAGGATCAACCTAGTGTGCCACGGGCACCAGCCCCGTATTTGCACTTTTAAGAGACAGATTACTGTACAAGGTTGGGGATGATGGCAGCAAGAACGACAACTTCGAAAACAGAAATTCAGGCAAAGAGCAAAGGGGACCTAAGTTAAGAGACAGTCAGAAAGAGAAAAAGGAAAAAGGGGTGCACACTCAGAGCAAGTTAAGGAGGTTGGGGTGCAGGCATCTGCTGGAGATGCCCACACTCCATATTGGAGTGCCTGGTTCAAGTCCTATCTCCTCTGCTTCCCATCCAACTTCCTACTAATGCACCCTGGGAGGCAGAAGGTGATGGCTCAAGTAGTTGGGTCCCTGCCACTCACGTGGGAGACAGATCGGCTTCTGGAATCCTGGCTTAGGGACTGACCCACCGCTGAGTATCGTGAGCATTTAAAGAGTGAATCAGCAAATGGGAGACTCTCTAACCCACCATCTTTTAAATAACATGAAAATAAATAAAAATTTTAATAGGAGGTAGAATCCTTGCAACTTGCTAACTTTCTGAATTGGTAGCAAACAAGAGGGAGGCACTGGAATAACAGCAAAATTCCTGCCTTTGACAGCAAGCAATGAAGCAGATAGGGGGGAAAAGGAGGATTGAGTTTGGGGCATTTGAGGTGGAGGTGACCATGGGAGTCCAGGAGGAGAGGCCCAGGAGTACCTGCTCCGCGTGGTTCCCTTGGCCCTGGGCTATCCCCTCCTGCACGCTCTGCAGTGTGCTGTGCTGCTCACTGTGACGCAGGGAAGGCTAGGTGTCTTCAATGCATTTTCAACTTCTGATATGCTTATCAGGATGTCCCCCACCATAAGTCTACAAGTACCTGTCACTGTGTCCAAGAGAAACCATACAATCTCCCAACCGTCAGTGTATCATGTCATCCTTTGGTTTTCCTTCCAGCCCCAAATCCTGCTCTGCCTCACCTCACTTTCAGGCCACACAGCATCACCACAAACCCTTTCAGGTTCAGCCTGTCCCAAGTCTGCACCGTATTTTTAATGCTTATTTTTATTTATTTTCATCTATTTGAAAAGCAGAGAGAGAGGAAGAGCGATCTTAATGCCCACAACAGCAAGGGCTAGGCCAGGCTGAAGCCAGGAAGGACCCTGGACTCCATCTAATTCTCCCATGTGGGTAGCAGGAGCCTAAGTACGTGAACTATAATCTGCTGCCCCTAGGATGTGCATTAACAGGAGGCTGGATCAGAAGCAGAAACGCTGGGACTTGAACCTGCACTCTGATACGGAATTGTGGGCATCCCAGGGGATGTCTTAACCTACTGCATCACAATGCCTGCCCCAAGAGCACTTCAGAATCACTGATACTCAGGAGCCAGCTTTGTAGCACAGCGGGTTAAGCTGCTACCTGCACCACTGGCATCGCACATGAGTGCTGGTTGGAGTCCCGGCTCCTCTACTTCCAGTCCAGCTCCCTGTTAATGTGCCTGAGAAAGTGGCAGAAGATGCCCCCAAGAGTTTGGGCCTTTGCCACCCACATGGGAGACCAGGATGGAGTTCGAGGCTCTTGGCTTAAGCCTGGCCCCGCGAGAGCCATTGAGGCCATTTGCGGAGTGAACCAGTAGATGAAAGATCTCTCTCTTTCTGCCTCTCCCTCTCTAACTCTTTCAAATAAATAAATAAACCTTTTCTAAAAATAATAACCGCTGATTTCAACTCAGACTCCAGAACACGTGCCTTTCTAAGAGTGATGGAAACATAACCGAGATTACTAGACCCCGCCCTGGGCCTGGGCACACATTTCTCATGCAGCCTTGTCACAGCCTGGCTGGGAGTGAGATAACTGCCTGCAGATGGTTGGTCAGGGGCCACAGCCAAATCACACGATTCAAGGATCCAGGGGTGAACACAAGTCCTGCTAACAGCTCAAAGACCCTGCTTGCGTTTCTGACCAAAGAACTACAGCAACAATAGATGTCCAAGTTTCATAAATAATATCCTCTGTGAAGACACGTTGCCTCACATCGGAATCTCAGGGCATGCTGACAGGTTCACAGGTGGAAAATTACTAGATACGTTTCTGTTCTCAAAATAGTCAGAGCTTCTCAGAAGCCAGAGCTCTGCGGATTCCACTAAGCAGCTAACTCTGTATTGAAGTGATGGGAAAAGGGATAGTTCCTTTTTTTCTAACTTGGAGAATTTAATTTGGGGGTTTTATCAGAAACTTCTGCTCCTCGCTAGATGAATGGCCCCCTATATCTTTCATATTAAATTAACTGAGGGCAGAATGCCTTTGTTGGATGTGAATGACCGGCTCCAGAGTGTAGCTCATCATTTTTAAGTACAAAATGCAGACCTCAAATCAGGGAGCCTGAGTTATCACATCTATTGTCTATTTTTCAGAGAGTTTTTTTTTTCCATCCTCAGTTGCCACACAGGACATTAATTAGCAACCAGGAGGCTCCTGGGCAAGGTGCTCTCCCATTCTCTGTCCCTAATGGAACTGGCCCCAGGAGCACAGACCTGGACAACTCAGAGAGCACTTTGGCTTCCATTTCTCTCTCCCAACCAGGCTCAGGTCAGCATGACTAATCCCATTTTACCAATGAAGACACTGAGCAAGAACTCACACAAGGTAACACTCACAAGCTGCAGTGCTAGGACAGGCCTCCCAGTCCAGTGCCCCTTCCCCCACACTGCAATAGCCACACGTGACTTCACTTGGCAACAATTCACTCTTTTCCTATATAAACCTGTCTACAGCCAAACCACCCTGAACGTGCCTGATCTCGTCCAATATAAACCTCTGCCCTGCCTGCTGTTTCCCCTGCCTCTTCCTCCATTCTGAACTGAAATGAGTGAACTGTTCTTTAGCATTTGCACATCTTGTCTTTCTGGCCTCCCTTTTCATCATCGCCCAGCATGATCCCCAGGCTGTGGCCACGCTGTGACGTGTGCGCGACCCATGCCCACGGTGGCCGTGCTTCGTTCAGTGCTGTTCCCTCTGCTATGGCACCCTTCTCCACCTTCTTCACCGACCCATTTGTCACAAACCAAAAGCTTTTCCAAATGCTCTCCCTTGTCCAGAGGAATTCTCTCTCTCTCTTCCTTATAGTTCAGAAAAACCACTACTGGGTTGTGACAACTTGTGCACAGCAGCCTCTATTCAGACCTGTGTCTCAACGCCTCCCCTGGAAGCCCCCTGGGACAGCCCACAGTGTGTGCTGCTTCCCCCACCCCACCCCAACAAAGCCCTTCTTCTGTGTGTCTGTTTTCTGCTCCGTTTGCTGAGTTCCTCTAAAATAAGGGCCATGGTTTCTCATCTCTGGATCCCCAGGGCTTAGCACAGAGCAGGAAGTCATTGGCGACTCTCAGTAAGTGCAACATTTTGTTAAATATCAGCTATCTCCCCAGCGGGCATGTAAGCCCCGAGAGGGTGGAACCCCTACTCTCCCGGCCCAGGACCTTGCACATGGTGAGCCTGGGGGCAAGGCTTGCAGGGTGAGTGACCCGAATGACGCTGAGTGTAGGTGCGCAGGGACACTGGGAAGCAAGCCGTACTCACACTGCTCTTCCCACTCGCGCTCCTCCTTCTCGCTGGGGTGGCAATGCAGCTGGGCCTGCTTCAGGGTCCAGTAGAGCTCCTTCGCCCTCTGCTCTTCCTGGAGGCGAATCTGCTCTTCTCCTCGCTTCCTCTCCTCTTCCTCCTTCCTCTAAAATACCATGGAGACAGAATCCCGTTAGGTGACCCTAACACACCACAGAGTGGACGTGCCTCTGATTCTGCAGCAGGATAGGGCTGGGCTGTCGGGTCTCAGTCACTACACATGTGAAATGGCAACGGTTGCTCCTTTAAAAAACAAGCACATCAAAAAAAAAAGCCTGGGTAGGGATCAAATGGGTTGACATGTGTGGAATGAGTTATAGATATTAAAGCTTCCTGAGCTATGCTTGAGAAAGAGAGAGTATAGGTACAGGGAGCGCACCTAGTCTTCCTGGAGGCCACGAAGCAGGATGTGGTCTTGTCTTTACCCTCAGTCTGGACAAGACACAAGCAGCCCCCTGTGACTGTGGGTTCCAGTCTGCAGATTCAACCAGCCACAGATAGAAAATAATGGAAATTACAGGGCATTTTCATTGTACTAGGTATTATAAGTAATGTAGGATGGCTTAAGGTACACAGGATGATGTAACCAAGTTACATGCAAATACTATGTCATTTTATATAAGGGACTTGAGCATCCATGAACTTGTGGTACCCACAGGGTGAGGGGTGTGTCCTGGAACCAATCCCCCATAGAAGCCCAGTGATGACAGAATTTTCCAAGAGACAGTAGGTTTGAGCCCCCTAAATTCCCCATTTCTGTCCCATTGTTAAACTCCAAGCAGGTCGTGTGTGTGTGTGTGGGTGTGTGTGTGTTTGTGTATGAATTTTCTTCTTTGTTTGCATCATGTGTAAATGTGCATAATGAGCCAAAAGCACATATGTGAAACTATCAGTCCTCTGAGCCACTTCACCCCAAACCAACCCAACCCACCCAAGCCAGTACCCAGAGGCCACCATTCCAACTACCATATGCACGTCTGACTAATGCTGCTAATTCTTGGTTTATCAAATATGGACATGAAATACCACCTTTAATCGTGGTACTTCGGAGTATATCTCCCTCAGAAGTGAACACCCACACTTTCCCCCTCCTCTTCCTCACTTTAAATTCACATCAATAACCAATGCAAATACACTTCACTGCAAAGCCAAATAGGATGATATTTTCACCAGTCTCAAAAAGTAGTACTTTTTAAAAAGATTTATTATTTATTTATTTATCTATATTTTTACTTATTAGATATTTATTTGTAAGGCAATGCAACAGAGAGAGACTCTTCTTTCCACTGGTGCACTCCCCAAATGGCAGGGAGCCAAGCCTGGACTTGGCCAAAGCCGGGAACCTGGAACTCCATCCTGGTCTCCCACATGGGTGGCAGGGGACCAAGTATTTTGGCCATCGTCTGCTACCTTCCCAGATGCTTTAGCAGGAAGGAGGATTGGAAGTAGAGCAGCCAGTACTCAAACTGGCGCTCTGATATGGAATGCTGACATCACTAGCAGTGGCCTAATCCACTGTGCCCCGTGGTCATTTTTAAATTTTTTAACATCTCCGAAATTTGAGTATGTCTTACAACCTACCACTTAAAACAGTTTTTTCTTCCTAACAGGTTTTCACAACTGATGGCATCTTAAATTCAGTAAAACAGAGTGGTGTGATAGTCTTTTCTTTCAAATACCTTGTCGGGTTTTTTTCTGGGTTAGTAATTGTTTTTTCTTGAAATTGGACATTAAATTTTCCCAAACTTTTCTCAGAGTAGTAAATCTTCTAAGTTTAACTGAGTGCTTTTCTTTTCTTTTAAGATTTATTTATTTATTTGAAAGTCAGAGTTAGAGAGAGAGAGGGAGAGACAGAGAGACAGTTCCTCCATCTGCTGGTTCATTCCCCAAATGGCCCCACAGCCAGCACTGGGCCAGGACGAAGCCAGGAGCCAGGAGCTTCTTCCACTTGGACCATCCTCCACTGCTTTTCCCAGGCCATTATCAGGGAACTGGATCAGAAGTGGAGCAGGCAGGAAACAAACCGGTGCCCACAGAGGATGCTGGCATTGCAGGCGGCGACTTTAACCCACTGAGCCATAGTGCTGGCCCCACCAAGTGCTTTTTCTAACAGATGTTTGTCTTTTTCCAAGGGACACCACTGCCCCTGATGCCATGTCCTTTCTTCTCCAGGCTGCACTGGCTGCTTACTAGGTCCCCTCTTCATCCACGCACCCAGGACCTGCCCCTCTGCCTTGGCTGAGTTGCAGCTCCTACCTCTTTCTTGGCTGATTTCTCCTGTGGCAGCAATTTATGTTGCAACACTTCTTAGGTAAGGATCCACAGAGACCCTTTCTGAGTCTTTACCTCTCTGAAAATATTGATATACACCTTCCCAGATAACTGTTATTGCGGATCAGTGTGCAGTTGATGAAAAGTCATTTTCTTGCACAATGTTGAAGACTTTATTTCCTGGTCTTCTTGAACCCAATTCAGCTGCCCTGATCCTCATTCTGTGTAAGGCACTAATTTTTCTCTCTGGAATCTTTTAGAGTCTCTTCATCACTGATGTTTTGAACTATTTAAAATAATGCAAATTGGTGTGGATTTTCTTTCATACATGTATAGGACACTTTTTTCCATCTGGAGCCTCCTGCCTTTTCAGTGCATTACATCCTTCCGTGGGATCCTTTGATGACTTCTTCTCTCCTTTTTCTTTCTCTGTAGAATCCTGTTTGCTGAGTGCTGTTCTCCTTGAGTTGATCTGCTAAGCGTCTTGTCATTTCTCTCTTATCTTTTCTGGTCCACTTCCTGGTTGATTCCACTGACTTTGTCTTCCCAATCTTGTATGGAATTGTTTGATTTCAGCTCTGACGTTTGTGATTTTCCAGCCCTCTTTCTTCTTTGGTTGTCCTTTTTCATAGCATCTTGTACTTGTCTCATGAATGCAATGGCTTGGAGGGTGCTCGGACAGTTCTCCCCACACTCCTTTGTTTCAGATCTAGTTCTCTGTGTGGGTTTTTTAAAGTGTGTTTGATTTGGTGCTTGCCATTCCTGTGGGGGCTTTCCTTCGATGTCTGCTATTCCCTAGAGAAGAAGTCACTATGGGAGCAGAAGGCTCTCAGCGTGTGACCGGAGCTTCCTTGAGAAGGGGGCTTCACTCTAGGGCAGTTGGGTAAGGAATAAGCTACTTCACTGAGGGACACTCACATGCAGGCGACAGTGTTTGGTGTC